GCGTCGACCCGCCGAAAACCGCGGGCGTCACGCGGCAAGCGCACCCGCCGCGGCGCCGAAGAGGGCTCGGATCTGAGTTTCATCACACATGCCCGCACAACCACACACACAGAAACCCCCCTCCCCCGCCCGAGGCCCGGTCACTTGCCGCCGGCCGGCTGCTGCTGCGCCTTGGCCACCTGGCTGAGCTCGAACATGCGCTCGAGGGCCTCCATGTTAGCCAGGGTGGCTGTGACGGCGTCGGGGTCGGTGCCGTCGCAGCGGAGGGCCGTCATGGGGCCGTGCAGCAGCTTGTTGACGATGCCTTTGCTCAGCTCCTCCACAGCCTGGGTTTAATTGGGGCGACAAAAAGTGTGCGATAGGGGGGATGGGGATGGAATCCGGCGCAGAGCAAAAGGGCGTGTATTCCAAGGGATGTGTGCAGTCTGCTTTTGAGAGGAGCGAGAGGCCCCTGCCCGGACAACAAGAGCTCCCCGTACCACCCCCACCCCGACAAATACCCTCTCCATACATACAGAGCCCCGTCCCTGTCCAACGAAACATCCACGCGGTGCGCACGGCCCCCGCTCCAGGCCCGCAGGCCGCACCTTCATCTGCTTCTTGGTGACGCCGTCCCCGAACCGGCTGACGGCCTTCTCGAACTCGGCCGCCCTGATGGCCTCCGCCTTGGTGCGCAGCGCCTTGATGGTGGGCACCGTCTCAAGGGAGTCCCGCCACGCCTCAAAGCTGCGCTGCTCCTCCCTGCATGGTTGAATCAGAGCGCGCGCGAGAGAGAGAGAGTGTGCGTGTGTGTCGGGTGAGGGGAGAGGGCCAGCCACAGGGTGCGTCTGATGGCTGTGGGCTCTCGGTGCCGCCGATCAGCAGGACGGCCGGCGCAGTGCGCGGCGACCCCCTGCGGCTGCCAGCAGCGGAGCACCAGCCCCCTGCAGCCAGCGTCCGCCAAAGCGGGCCAGCCAGCCCGCAACGGCCGCCCAGCACACCCGCCCGCTGCGCCTTTCCACCCCTGACGACGCCCTCGCACGCGCGCCGCCCCCGGCCCGCCGCCCCCCAGGCCCTGCCGCTCACTTGAGCAGGATCTCCGCCTCTGCCGCCGCCTGCGCGCGCGCCTCCTTGTTGCCCGCCACCACCTCCTTGAGGTCGTCCACATTGTAAACAATGGCCGCGCCCTCGGCCGCGTCCCGCAGCTCGTTGATCGCCGGCGCGATGTTGCGGGGCACGCTGATGTCCACGAAGCGGCGCACGCCGCCGACGGCCGCGGGGGAGGGGGCCATGCCGGCGAGGTCCTCCTTGTGGATGAGGATCTCCTCGCTGCCTGCGGGGGTTTCGGGGGTTACCGGGAGCGGTAATTAACAAGGATTGTTCCATTTTCAAGGCGACCAGGTGGTGGTCGAGCCGGCCGGATCCCCAAGATCTGAAAGGTCAGCTTGACAGCGGCGGCTCGCCGGGCCCCACGCCTGGCGCCTGCAAACCCCGTTTGCTGCCGCCACCCTCACGACTGCGCGCCTGCCGTCCGCCTCGACTCCCGCCGCCACCCCGGCAGGCGACCGCCACTGCCGAGGCAAAGCCTGCGCCGCTGCCGAGGCGCAGCCGCGCTCCTGCCGAGCCAAAGCCACGCCGAGAGCAGCTGCCGCGCCCCGCCACCCTCCCCCTGCGCACCCGACGCCGCAAAGATGACGTCACTGGCCGCCACGCAGTCCATGAGGTCCGGCATGAGGTGGATGTCGAACTCCATGTCCGGGTACTCCTCCTTGAGGGCCTCGGCGCGCGGCAGGCTGCGGTTCAGCACCGTCACGCGCTTGCAGCCCTTCGACAGCAGGTGCTTAACCAGCAGCGTCGACATCTTGCCGGCCCCGATGATGCAGACGCGCGCCGCGTCCCAGTTGTTGCCGGGCAGCTTCAGCTGCGCCAGCTCGACCGCCGCGCTGCTGACGGAGACGCTGCCCGTGCTGATGCTCGTCTCACTGCGCACGCGCTTGCCGGCGGTGATGGCCTGCTTGAACAGGCCGTTCAGCTGCCGGCCAAAGCCGTTGCAAGACTGGCCGACCTTGTACACCTGCCGCACCTGCGCCAGGATCTGGCCCTCCCCCATGACCAGCGAGTCCAGGCCGCCCGACACGCGCAGCAGGTGGTGCGTCGCGTCGCGGTCGCGCAGCAGGAAGAGGTACGGCCGCAGCTCCTCGAGCGGCACGCCGCTGCTGCGGGAGAGCCACTCCTCGACCTCGCGCACGCCGCGGTGCCAGCTGACGGCGCAGACGTACAGCTCCATGCGGTTGCACGTCGACAGCACCGCGGCCTCCTCAATGTGTGGGAACTGGCAGAGCTCCTCGATGGCCCGGGGCCACTCGGCCTCGGGCACCGCCAGCTTCTCGCGCAGCTCGACGGGCGCGTTATGGATGGTGAGGCCGATGGCGATGATGGAGTTCTTCTGCTCGGTGGCGTAGCCTGCGCGGGGCCGCGGGCGGCGCGGCGGGGGGGCGGACGCGGGCGGTTTTGGAGGGAGGGGGCGTCCGGGGACGGCTGCGCGTTTTGCCTCGACGCCTGGGCTGGCTGGCCTCGAATCGCAAGGCTGCTGCGCCCACATTGCGTGCCTGTCGCTGCCAAAAGCGTCCGCAGGTCGTGCCGCTGTCTTTGCCGCTGGCGCGCCCGCCCGCAGCGCCAAGGTCGGAGGTTGCGCACGTGCAGCGCAGCGCTGCGCAAGCGCTGTCTGCACCACTCGAGGCTGTGTCTGGCGCTGCACAGCCCGCGCCAAGGCTGCACCGCTGCCAATTGCACGGGGACCTACATATCAACGCATCACATGCGCGACCACGCAGCCTGTGCTGCATGATACTTGGCTGCGAGATCGATCCCCTTCCCCGAAAGGGCACCAGACACGCACGGTTGACGGCCGACATCTTCAGGTTCTCCAGAGCCTTCACAGAGGACTCCAAGTGCGTGCTAGGCAGCCGCGCCAGGCCCGTGGTGGTGGAAACCATCACTGCACGCGGAACGAAGGTCGCGCCCGCGCGACGGCAGCGGGGAGACGGCCTAGAGGCTGTCTGGGCCATCATGCCCTTGCTGCCCCTGCTGCATTCCTGCGCCACACTGCTGCGGAGGCCCTGCATCTTGGCCGAGCCTGTGCTGTGGGTCGCGGAAGATGCCGCGAACAGGCTAAGATGCAAACGCTTCACCGCAATGAGGCTGTGCAGTGGAATAGGACGGACGGGATCGTCAGTCGGGCACCCAGTGAGAGATGGTCGTCCCCAGCAATTCACTTCCGAAGGCCCTCGTTCCGCGACGCTTTCCAGGCGTAACCAGCTTCAACGGGTAAATACAACCACGTTAAGTCTTATAAGCACCTCTGAGGCCAATCACGTCGGCGCTGCTTGTGGCGCTCCCGCCGCCATTTAGCCATGGAACCCTCGCCGGGGGGAAGATCCAACATCGCTTGTCAGTCACGTGCCGGTGCTGTAGCCTGATGTCTACAGGGTAAAGGAGGTCGCAGCAGCGCGTCACAGGAGCCCGATCTACACACACAGCCTTCGGGCCAGAGACGAAGTCAGCATCCGACCCAGCTGCAGCTCCCAGCCCAACTGCCCCTGACCGCGCCTGAGCACCCCGCCAGAAGAGGCTGAACACCCGATTTTGCTTGGAAAAGCCTGGCGGGTCCACGCTGCGCTGATCTCGGGCTGAGAGCTGACGTGCATGGGGATGTCACGGCTCCACATGCAAGGCGCATGGTGCGCATGCCCCTGACGCCCCGGCACTGCCCCATATGCACGCTTACCCGTCCGCGGTTGCGAATGGTGTCGATGCTGGTGTACATCACCCTGCCTTGCTGCAAGTTTCAAGCCCTCTGGCACTGGCACATTCTGGGGGCCCACCATTGAGGTCTGTCATGCCCTAGCACGGCAGGCTGGTGCAATCAGAAATCGTAACAAGGCCGCCAGGGTGTCGCGGGGTCGTCCACAGGCTTCAGCAGGGCGGTGCGCTGGTGGCGTGTCAAGCAGCCGATGCGCCAGCACTCTGTAAAGCGCGGCAGCAGCAAAGTTGCGGTACATGCCAGCAACAAAAGCCTCGGGCCTGGTAAGCTCAAAACGTCGCCGACAGCCCAAAAGCGGCGCGGCAGGGCCGGCGCCCCCCCCCTGCGGCCGATCTGAGCGCGCAGTGTTACAGCACCGCTTCAGGCAAGAGGCACGGCTGCGGCGAAGGGCCGGTGACCTCGACAGAAA